TGTGTCATTTGACACAACATTCTGAACAAACAAAGAGAACCATCCACTTGCTTTATTTACTAGCTTTAACCACTTCAGAATGACTATGATTTTTGGTGCTGCATTATTATATAATGAAACTACAGCATCATTTGAGTACATAATGATCATAAAACCACACACTAGTGAGATCTTATTCTTTTTATTGAAATCATATTACTTAAGTACATATTGCTCATAAAACTACTAACAATATTTTATGGACTAGGATGTTGAGGTACCCTATTGGCCACAACTAATGAATTCCGGATATAATCTGCTCATGCATGATGTTAATTTTGTATGCCCGCCAACTTATCCACTATCAACGCCTTTGTCTTCCCAAGCATTGTACAACCCACAAAGTTGTCAGGTGTGTAATATACTTGTTTGCAATCTAGATTTTTGTTTTTACATATATGTGTGTATTTATTTCCATTGCATTTCCTTATACCTTCTTCTCTTTTTTTTTGCAGGGATTAGGATTTGATCTAGCAGAGCACAGTCCCATGGTGGCTGAGTCAGTCTTTCATAATGATAGTTTGTTTGATTTTTTCAGTCATTCGGAACCACCCCCGCAAAATTGAAATGTAAACATTTATCTAATGGGCCACCCTTTTGCTTTATTTTTGAGAATTAAATTGAAATAGATTCAAGGTTTATTTAAGGAGAAGCCACCACTGTTATTGTGTTTTATTTCATTTGTGTTTGTTACATAATAGAGCATCAAATTGTGCATACTGGATATGGACTCAAGGTTTACGGAAAAACCATTGTTATTGTGTTTTATTTTATTTGTGTTTGATACATAACAGAGTATCAAATTGTGTAGATTGGAATTTTTTTTTTTTTACAAGATTTAATGATTTTTTATAAGTTTTAAGTAACAAAGGGTATCAAGAAATTTTCAAAATTGATTAACGGTCACCCATAGGTCATCTTGTTTGTCAAATTTTGTTATTGAATCTTATGTAAAGTATTTATTGAGTTTATAATATTCCAATAAGTCAAAGTTTATTAGTTATTTAATTTTGGAGTCCATAGTGTTAGTAGTATTGGGAAAACAAGAAACCTATAAATATGGATATAATCTTCTATTCATTGAAGTTGAGTTTTGGAGAATTGTGTCAAGATTTTGTGGTTTTATCTGAGTCTTTGTGCACCCTCCCTTGGGGGAATTCCTAGAGTCTCTTCCTCTATTCTTCTTCTACAGTCTCTATTCATAGACCCCAAAAGCACAATTTTCCAGCCCCAAAAGCTTACTTAATGACGCTAAAACAACCCTAAACCATTCCCCAACCTATTGGTCACCAATTTAATTGTTATAACCATAAAATAGCTCATTATTAAGCTTTCTAATTTCCTGCTCCTGTAAATCCTGTGATAAGCAAGTTTGAAAATCAAGCCAAATCTCACAGTCACACCTACTCATTTTCAAACCCTAGACTTGTATGAATTGTGACAATGCTTGGTTTATATGAATTTATTTTCTCTTTTATTTTATTTTATTTTTAAAAAAATTGAATGATATAACATCAATAAAGTAAGATTTGCATGGTGTGATTTTTGTGTAAGCACTTCTCCGAGGACTAGGTGAAAGGCATGTCCCTTTTTGTTTGTTTTGAGAGCAAGACGTGAACACCTTGTTCAATTAACATAAATGTTTCAAGTGTCGTACATTATGTGTTGGGTGCAGTCTTGTGAATTGTGATCATCTAATAATAACCTATATTTGTATTGTTCTAGGTTTAGAAATGGATGGTGCTTTAACTTGTGACCATCGTGATGCAATATTTTTACACCAGTTCAATCCAATGATGTGTTGTTATTGCTGATCAATTAAAGGTTTTACTTGAATTGGTTTTCCTGCCATTTGGCAACCTCATAGTTCATGTTTCAATTTAATTCAGTTTATGGTTGTGGGTACACCAGATGTGTGGTTTTGAGTTTATCATTACCTCTTTAATTTGCATTTCATTTTTTATCGAATATAATTCAGTTTATGGCAGGTTAATAAGTGTGGAAATGTCATATATGATGAGTATGTTCGCCCAGTAGACCGCGTTGTTGACTTCCGAACAGAAATTAGTGGCATCCGACCTCGAGATTTAAGGAAAGGTTGAAAGTATCTTTATTTTTCTTTTAAGTGCCGGTTTAGAGGTATGCAGGTTCATCTTTTGGTGAGTTTGATTGTATTCGATAGCCTTACATTTTGAGGTCATCCAAACAGTTCCTAAGGCTTTCTTGCGTGTTTACTGTAGTTACTTTTTCTCCTTGGTACGGTGTTTTGTTGGCAATCGAAGTACAAGGCAAGTTGTGAAATGTGTCTTTGAATTTATTCAAGAAAAGGAGGATTATAGTATGGACTATAGATATTGGCTATCTATACAGTGAAATGATATCAAATGATTAAAATCTCATGATTATTTTGATTTTTGATTGTTGAAGAATGTTAACCTGCTACCACGGATTACCCTTTTATTTTTGTTTTGTTTTTGAACGATTATTATGATTATTCATTTTGATTTGGTGTCTTTCAAGCTACTTAACTAGTCAATAATTGTTTGGCAGTGTGACAGATGCAATAGCCATGGATTGTGAAATGGTTGGTGTAAGCCAACTTGGAGATTAAGAAATGATGTTGTTTTTAATGGTTATCAGCCAAATATGGCAGAGCTTGGTGAAACATTGAAAGTGAGGGTTGGGCTGTGGGTTATGTCAAATTTGCCTAGTATCCCCTATTCAGTGCATGATATTGTAGAAAACCTGAATCATGTTATGATCTGTCTATGAGATGGTTAGTTGGAGGTGTTTAGCTGCTTAGTATTGTCTTGCTGCTGTTGTGTATTTGCTGGGTCTAGGGGTTGTTTTTCTTCTTGTTTTGGTTGGTTACTCACCAGCCTGGGTGTGGTGCTGTGATGATGTTTTTGCACCATTTCCCCCCTCATTGATGTAATGTTCTTATACTTTGTATTGGTTATTCATCAATAAAGGTTTCTTTTTGTTGATCAAAAAAAAAAAAAAAAAAAAAGGAATGTGAAACTGAATTTGCAGTTGAAATTACAATGAGAAGGCAGGAGACTTGCCAATCCTAAGTTCCCAGCAGCCATGGCTAAAAATTGCTTGAGACTTTTTTTTTCTTTTAAGACTATGTTTATTGGTTTATAGTTTAAAAGTGGTTATACGTCAGTTAGCGGAAACCATTGTATGCTCTATGAATAAGAGAAAAAAGAAAGAAAAAAGAACACTATGCTCAGCCCTAAAAATTGTTTATTAAAGGAAACTAACAAAAAGTTTCTAAATTCAATTCCCAAACTTACTTCCAAACGTAGGCTTCAAGATCAACATTGACAAAGTTTAGATGCTAGGAATCTTTAGACTGAATGTCTCTTTTCCACTATCCTACAAAAATAAAATCTTTACTTCATTTTCATCTTCTCTTTTTCCTTTTCTTTTCATTTTGCTGCACAAATCCTTCACTCCAAGCATTATGGTAAACCACTGACTTTTAGATTAGATACTGATGTCATTAACAAAATCTTGGAATGAATTAATTAAAGGAGAAGACATGATTGTTCTCTTTCCCATTTATAAGCAAACATTATTCTTGTATGTCAATTCATAGATGTGGACTGAGATATAAATTATAGGATAGATATATTCCACTACCATTTTATTTATCTACATCTTAATTAATGGTTTATTGCTTTGGTCCACTTGTTAAGGATTAGTAGTTACTGTTAGTTTCTGATTTAATTCTTCAGAGTACCTCGCAGAAAGATTACCCTATATTCCTTGCTCTTCTGGTGTTTCATTGTGCGTTTGTTGCGGTTGGCTTAGCTGCAGTTGTGTAGGTACATGTAAGTCATATCCGTTGCTGCAGGAACTTCTGTTTATGTCATTTATGTCCATTGCTCCATAAACCTGAAACAGAACATTAACCTCACACAATTTCATATTTTCTTGATGACTAATAACTCCCTGCAGTGGAATCAGTTGAAGTTAGCTACTCTGAAGTAAAATCGGCCCCTAAACAGAAACTGGTAGTACTTGTGGTCAAATTTTGATAAGACCTGGTGGTTTAAGTAGTATAATAAAAGGAAACATTATAATCAATGTTACTTGGAATGCCAATCATTTGGAAGAGTAACAACCTGATACATACTATAGAACATGAGGGTAGGCTTAATGTAGATCACATTACCTCCAAGTGTGAGACTTATTATCAACTAAAGCTAGAAATACAAAATAAAAAAAAAAAATTTTTTTTTTTGATCATGCAGAAATGGAATCACAGTTTTTTTTTTATCTGTCATGAGTCACAGTTTTGTTTTTTGTAATATGTTCTTACATTTTACAATTGAATCACAGTTTTGTTTTTATTTGTCATGAATCACAGTTTTGTCTATTTTGTCTTTACTATTTTCCGGTAATTTTGCTGGACGATGACCAATTTATGAACGCACTGTTTGTAGTGAAATTTTGATTTGGTCATAATGGATTTTGTAGTAGTACTTTCTTCTTGTAACTTTCTTTGAAGGGCTTATTTTCTTGTGCGAAAATTGTGTTTTTCCTAAAAAATGGCTAGTTCTAATTCTAAAAACAAATAACAAATAAAATAGGATGTCAAACAAATTGTGTGACTTCTCCATGCTACATCACTTTCAAGTTTATTAAGTTACTAATTTTTGAGTACCAAATCAAAATTTGTAGGAAAAAAAAATGATGACAGAGGAACCATGACCATGAGGCCTGTGTAGAGAGAAGACAACCACAAAATTAAAGAAACCAAACCTTCAACAACTTGCTTCTTCGTATATCCCTTCACCACTTCTAGGATGTCTGTCACTTCGGTAGCTTGTTTCTTCGCATCCAATCCAGTCATACCCTTCCAAAGTTCAGTGATAGCCTCAGGCACGTGTTTGTCACGAACCGAATACATATTCCCCAACCTTTTAGAAGCGAGTCTAGGGCGTCCTGAATCAACAAAAGTTTGGACAGAGTTTCGATTCCTACAAATTACATAAAATAGTTAGAAATTTTCATATAAAAAAAAAAAAAAAAAAAACACTAAAGCTAAAGCAGTATAAAATTCAAATAGTACCCATTTTTGGTTGATTCAGAGTTTCCTGGTGTCCTGAAGCCACTTTCTCATTCTTTTTGTTTGCCTCGAAAACCTCCTATTTCTTCCTTCGCTTTTGTTTCTCTGCCATGCCCTTTTCTCCATAAAATAGCATCGTCAGGCATCCCTACAAGAGATAAAAAAATTATAAAATTTAATTAAAAAATCATAGAAACAACATAGTTTTCTTCTTGAAATAATAAAGATCAGAAAATCAAAAACATATTGAAAACACGCTTTTCAGTATTGAAAAGCATTCGAAAAGTATGTTTCTGATTATCTGATCTTTATTATTTCAAGAAGAAAACTAGATTATTTTTATGATTTTTTACTGAAATTTTATGATTTTTTTTTATGTCTTGTAGGTGTGCCTATGTTGTCAGACAAGATGACGATGCTATTTTATGGGAAAAAGGGCATGGCGGAGAAATAGAAGCGAAGGAAGGAATGTGAAGTTTTCGAGGCAAACAGGAAGGAGAAAGTGGCTTCGGAACACGAGGAAACTCTGAATCAACCAGAAATGGGTACGATTTGAATTTTATACTGGTTTAGCTTTAGTTTTTTATTTTTTTTTTGGTTTGATTTGAAAATTTCTATCTATTTTGTGTAATTTGTAGGAATCGAAACTCTGTCCAAACGTTTGTTGATTCAGGCGCCCTAGACTCGCTTCTAAAAGGTGGGGGAATATGTATTTGGTTCGTGATAAACACATGCCTAAGGTTATCACCGAACTTTAAAAGGGTATGATTGGACTGGATACGAAGAAGCAAGCTGTCGAAGTGACAGACATCTTGGAAGTGGTGAAGGGTTAGTCTTCAAAGACAGGGAACCATTTGCCCATTTAAGAATAGCCTGATGAGTGACTCTCTCTTTGAAATTCTATCGCTCGAAGAGACATTTGTTCTGCGACAAAATCTCAGTTTATTCTTAGAGTCAGTTTCGGTTCAAAATTAGACCCCCAAAAAAAAAAAAAAATCATAATAACTGTCACGTAATATAAAAATATATTATTATATTAGGGTTTAAGTTTATATTAGAGATGTGAGTTATATTTACTAAAATATTTTTATATCACGTGATTATCATTGTCAATGTGTTATTTTCTATTTAAGTTTTAACAAAAATTATGAGTAAATTGTAAAAAATTTGAAACATGAAAGGCCAAAGTATGAAAGTGGCCAAACATAAAAGGGCCAAAGTATAATTACTTATTCAAAATTTTAATAATAAGTAACAGAGTGATTATTTAAAATTGTTCACATTAAAATTATAAAAAATAAAATGAAATTTTTCTCAAATTAAATAAATCAAAAATAATTTACCTAACAAATTTGTAATTATTTGGATTGAATAATCAAATTAAAATTGGATTTAAAATGTGAAATACAAAACAATAAAAATTGAGTATAGTAAAAACGTTGTGTAAAACATCTCCAAAGTTATATAAGATGTAAAGAAAAAATGTCAGTTTAGACGTTATCATCAAACTGATACAAGATGAAGAGAGAATAAAATATTTTATTAAATGAAAAGAATATTTATTATTTATCAAATTTGTAGGTAATTGTTGGGCTAAATGACTTCCCGAACAACCAGACTTTCTTTATCAAATTTGATGAAAATTGAATTTAATGTTAAAGTGTACTTCATCAAATAAATAATTACAGAAGCACAAACTGCAGGTGCTGTATCTCCATTGCAATTTGTCCTCCATGATCGAGCCATGGGTTGATATTCGATCATCGATTCTGGGGTTTCTACTTTGATATTCAGCACTGATACTGATCACTACTAGTATGAAATCCTTGACGATTTTTCTCCCTAGGGTTTAGGTCGAATCCCAGAATCAACGTCATCGTGGAAGGAGAGTCTCCGTGATCTCATATGAAGTGGAGAGTTCTAGGGCTTCTTAGCGCTTCACCATTCATAGACGCCATGGCTCCTCAATTTTCGGGGTAAATCTCTTTCTAAATATATATGTATGTTTATTTATTGCCTGATTCAGTTGATTATTTAGGGAAAATCCATTGTAGTGTTTGGTAGAGTTTTAGAATTATGATTTGATAATAGAGTTGTATTTTGAGTTTGTGAGTTTTGGAATTATGATTTGAGTGTGGAAAATTTATTTGGTTATAAATTTTGAAAAGAGTTTTAAATTGAGTTTGAATTGAGTTTGAATTGAGTGATGTGACATATGATATTTGATACAAAAACTTACAACTCATAACCAAACACATAACTCAAAATTCTATTCAAAACTCATAAAAATTTAAAAAAAGTTTCACAATTATTTTTTTTTGTAATATAAACGTAACAGGTGCAAAAAAAAAAGCAAAACCCGAACACTGTTCTGGTCAACCGGCCGGACTACCGGACGTTCAGTGGGACGACCGGTTAGCCTAAATTTTCCTGCCTTGGAAAGATTTTTCAAAAGTGAATGTGGAATTAATTTTTGAAAACGCTAAACAAGCACCACACTCAAAAGTGAGTGTGGAACTATATTTTGAAAGCTCCACCAAAGGGAGACCATGTTTTTCACTTTGTTGTTGATAATTGAAGTGTTAATAAGTCTGCGAAATTTGTCTTTTCTTTTACTTGTAAATCGAAAATTGGAATTGGAAATTCTTTCACATCCACTGATTTTCAGCACTTCTTTTTCATCGAATTGAAACAAAAGAGCACCCCCCTCTAAAAAAAATTAAATGGAGAAAATAAAAAAAAAAAATTAAAATGGAGAAAATAAAATCGCCTAAATTACACTATTCGTCCCTATAGTTTGTTAATGATGGTGTAAGCTTAGACAAGTTGCCAAAGGCCATTACATGCCATTTAGTTCAACTTATTGGAACTGCATATAGTTTTTTATTACTATTATTTAAGCGTGTGTACTAGACTATTTGGTGCATCTTTAGCTTATATAGCTTATGAGGCAAAAATAGTTTAAATGAACTGAAAAAAAAAGCTTATTATTTAGAAACTAGAGGAAGGTGCTTTTAGCTTCTACATCTTATTATCAACTTTTAACTTATAATAAGTTACATCAAACAAGCTCATGCTGTAAATTTGTATGGGTAAATAAAACATTATAATGACCGAATTAGTCCAATGGATTAGCTTGTTGGGCAATGCTCTTGGACCTTACTGAGGAGGTCAAGAGTTCGACTTTCTTTACATGTGTGCGAGTCTTATTCCGTTTGATGGTCATGAATCAATTATTTTAACAAAGTTAATTTATTCCTTTCTTTTGTTGAGCTTTGAAATACTTGAATCCAAGATCCAAAATGCCCTTTGCAACCCTAACAAAAAAAATAAAAATAAAAATCAGAAGACAGTACTTCCTAGAAATCATAGCAAAACTAAAATTTAATATTTAAAATTGTGATTCTAAATTTCGTCAAGTTACAAGTCCCTGAAATCAAAGTTAGGAGGTCAACTATGATGTTATGATCTACTCAAAAATAAAAAAGAAAAAAGAAAAAGGAAAAGAAAAATATGATTCATAATTTGAATACAACAAATCATTAATCAAGAATACATGAAAATAAAAATAAATGGATACATAAACACTCTAATTGTGGTAATGATCGCTCTGCCTCTCCCTCTCTTAGTATAGATAATATCCTCCCCAAAAGCCATGTGTCGATTCCCCAATCCAGACATTCGGGATGTGTGCAATTTTCCAATAATCCTCACCTTGTAAGTCCCTATATAGATTTGAAATCAATCCATCAGACATATCTACCAAGTTAAGGTATTGAAGGCTGGTTAGATGTTCAATGCCAAAGGGTAACTCGTCCACCAATTTGCAGTTTCCAATATATAGTTCTTCAAGATGAGGCATTGACCCTGCCTCTACACTCACCCATCTCAATCCGTTTAATCTATAAATTGATAATCTCTTAAGCCTTTGAAACCCACCAGACTGGAAACACAATCCCTCCCCTTCATATGCCTGATCAAGTTCAAGCTCAATGAGATTAGGCAAACCTTGAAAGGATTGTAGTGGATCAATATTCCTTAACTTACTCCACCTTAAACATAATCTCACCAGGTTGTGAAGAGAAGGTATCCAATGTGGTAGCCTCTGTAAACATCCTTCAAGGTAGAGCGTTCGAAGAAGTCGAGGCGGCAAAGACAGAGAATCTAGATCAATGATCTCATCTTCTTCTGTTGCTTTAACGCAATACCCTTTTAGCTTGCCTTGAGTTTTGGCCATGCTTGCATGCTTTGCTTGTGTTGATTGGTCGGTTTGGCACCTCTTTCCCATGCAATTTCAGAGCTTATAATGCATGCCATTGGTCCATGTTTATTCTCTTTTAAGTGTGCTTAAAAGTTGTCTCTATGTGCCTAAGTGTTAGGCCTTGCATGCATGCCTATTTTTATGTATTTTGGCTTCCATTCTTGAGCATGTTGGCCACTGTTTTAGGCTTGTTCGAGGGCTGCCTAAATTAGTCTAAGTCCATTCTTGCATGTTGTGGCATGCTCACCTTGTGTGTTGTTGCATACTTGGTCTATCGCATGTGTTGCATGCTTAAATCTTAGTGCATTTGGCATGCATTCTTCTCCTTGCTTTGGTCACTTAATATGCCATATGTCTTGCACACTTGCATGTCGGCATTGTATCTCACATGCTTGCATGTTTGCATGTTTGCCCCGTGATCATACTTGCATGCTTGTCCTCATAGCATGTTAGCTAACATGCCTAGGTTGCATATCATTACACGCATCGCCTCTTGATCAAGCCATGATAGAGGTTGAAGGCTCCTTTGTTTGTTTATGTACATTGCACTTCATTTGATATCAATATGCACACTTGGTTACTTGGGCCATCACACATTGAAATGCGCGATTGGTGGCCCGAGAATCAAGGAACATACCCCTTTGAGTCACAAACATGATAAGGGATGTGTTGGTGCACACATTTGCTTGGAATGCATTGCCATGCCTTGTTTTGCCCTCTGCTGCTGTCAAAACAGGATTCTGCAGGAAGATTTGGCCGGCCGGCTATCTATACTGCCGACCGACCAAATATTTGTGGCCGAGAGCTCAACCAATGGTCGATGACCATCTTTCCATGGTCGGTGACCATTTGTCTTAGCCGGTGGTGATCCACAGTGTCCCTGGAGCATACCTTGGGAGTTGTGCAATTTTCAAAGGAGCAGAGCAGGGGAAACAGAGGCAAACTTATGCATGACAGTGGGTTTCCGAGCGGAACCAAGCGCGCACGCATTGGGCCCTCTTCCCGAGGCTGCTTTTACTGCTTAATTAGCTTAGTTAATTTGCTTAACTAGTTAATTGTTTGTAATAATTAATTAGCTTGATAGTTAGTTAATTTGTATATTCTTTTGGTTCCTCCAAGCGAGGGTGAATTTGTAATAAGTGTGGGTGCGTGTGTGCATGTCTTCTAACCCCCACTTCTTTCTCCCTTTTTACTTACCTGCTTTTGATGGTTAGTATTAGGTCATATTTAATTTAGCATCCTTATGCTATGCATGTGTGCATCATTCATCAGTATTGCATGCACCAGGCCCGGCGCATCATGCTAACTGCATAAGTATTTCAAATCAAACTTGAATACATGCTATCTGTTGCATTTCACATGTCATCCTTAGATTAGCCGAGCCTATTCTAGTGACATTCTGTATGCGATGCATTAGCCATTTTAACATGAACTAGGATCACGCATGATTACTAACTAGTTTATTGTTTTGGCTTGGAGTACACTGTAAGTGTTTTCTGTTTTAGCATCTCGCATGAGTGCGAATGTTAATATGACAGCATGCTTACCATGTGGCTAGATGCTTATGTGATATAAACTGCCTGAATACCTGTGGGTGAAGGTTGGATTGTTTGAGTTGGAATAACTCGTTGAAATCCGTGTTTTAGCCTACTCGCGAGTAGCAAATTTCAAAACATTTTCCAAACAAACGGATATGTGATGCTTTGTTCCGAATTAGGCGATTTAATCTATACTTGTTTTGCTGTGCGCATCACATAGTAATTCTAACTAATTAACCGGAATAAGAACACATAACGTTTTCAAAATTGGATATCATGGTTAGTAGAGGCCGATCTTCGGATCGGGCGAGAGGGGGTGCTCATAGCTGACCTTCCCCAATCGTACCCAAGTTCCCGAGCCGAGGCAACTTTGGTGATGACGGACACGTGGCCTTAGGCAAACGAGTCAGGGTTTCCTAAATTCCCCCATTAAAAAAAATATTTAGGTGGTGACTCTGTATCTGGCAAAGCAGTCCATGTTTGGCACTTCTTTTCTAAAAATCTATTTTCTCAAAACGATTTGCCGGATTTGGACTCTTTGGTTCAGACTAAGAACCGTGACACAAAGGGGAGTCCAAACTATGGTGGCATAAATCGCAAGGGCGCGTCCACAGTTTCTGGCGACTCTGCTGGGGAGTTTAGAGAACTTGACTCAAACTAGTGATATCTTGTTTTGACTACGCTTATGTGTTTCTTTGCATTGCATCTGCATTGGTGCACCTAGGACACCGTGTTTGCCATCTGCCATTCCTGAACGATTTGCCGGAGGCTTGCTTTGTCAAAGCATGCCATAAGGATGACCGGTTATGGGCTCTGCCAGTATGGGAACACAAACCCCGGTTTCACCGGGGCACCCTTTTAACCATTCGACCTAGTGCATATTCAGAATCCATAGTGACCATTCCAAGCTAGGACAGGTTGCTTACCCGATGATAGGTTGTTTGAAATCGCTGCATGCATAGTAAAACCCTAGTTTCTAACAAAATAGGACAGGGAAACCCTACCCCAACATAGGGGTGTTTTGGTTCTCATTTACTTGCTTTGTGCTTTTAGAGTGTATCTCTACAGGAACGCGCATATCAGTTTGCAAGTTTAGTACCAGGCCTAAGGGCATCAGTATCAGAATTTGAGAATCGGTTATATCCGCGGGTATCAAATTCAGTGTTTCGGGGCAATGATTTTGGGAAATAGTGATCAGTAGTAGGGTACAGTTATCCAACTATGTCTGTGTCTGTTCCATTTGGACTGAAATGCTGTATGTTTTCTTTTTTAGTTCAGAGATTTAGTATAGAATAATCAGTGTTCTCCCTGCGCTGAGGCAAGACAGATATTTGATCTGTTAGTCACCGTTCAATTCAGCAGACTTAT